TACCACTAAAGACCCGCCGTGTAGGGCAGCGATGCACGTTAAATCTGTCGAGAGCTGAAACGTCCTCCCGTTGGTGTGGTGTGGTAGTTAGGAGAGGGGGTGCCAGCTCAGGTGTCATCCACATCACTTGACCATGGTTCAAAATTACGTGGTCCGTCGCCAAAAGCCCTCGTGTAGCTGAACAGTGCGACGTTAATATTCAATCAATCAATCAATGTCGACGGATAGAGTTCGAATCGCGCGATCAGCTTTTTTTTTCCAATTCTTTTCATTATTTTTTTAAATTAAATAAATTTATTTATGAAAGGTTTATTAAATATTAAATTATATTCTATGTAATTATTTTGTATTTTATAAAGTTAAGAAATTACTGCAATTATATAAATATTTATATTATGTGTGTGTTTAATAAATATATTTTTATGTAAAAAAATAAATAATATTTAAAATAAAATGTAAAATAAGTATTAAATGATATTTTATATAAAAATTAGTTGCAAATAGTTTTATAATGTGAAATACAATGTACTATAAATAAAATATTATGTATAATAAAAAATAATTTATAAAAATATATTATTATTAAATTAATTATTTTATATTTATATAAAATATTTAATAAGTTCTTTTTAAATAAATTTATTTAATTTTAATAAATTTATTTAAATAATGTTACTAATAAATTAATAATAATTTTAATTAATAGTTAAATTTAATTTATAATTAAGTGTAATTAATAAACAAGTTTAATTAATAATTAAGTTAACTAATAATACCTTTATTTACTTTTAATTAATAATTAAATTTAATTGATAATATTTTTATTTTAATTAATAATTAATTTTAATAATACTTTTATTGAATTTTATTTAATAATCAATTATTACTAATATTTAATTTTAATTAATAATTAATTTTAATAATACTTTTATTGAATTTTATTTAATAATCAATTATTACTAATATTTAATTTTAATTAATAATTAATTTTATTTAACAATTAATTTTAATTAGTAATTAATTTTTAATAATTTAAATAATAAATTTCTAAATTTTTTTTAACTTTATACTACTATTTATAAGATACAAAATAATTACATAAAGTATCATTTAATATTTAATAAACCTTTCAAAAATAAATTTATTTAATTAAAATAAATAATGAAAGGAAGTGAAAAAAAAAGCTGATCGCGCGATTAGAACTCTATCCGTCGACATTGAAAGCAGGCGTCTTACCATCTGAGCCTCTGCGTTGCTGGAGGTAATTAAAACTTAATTGTATAAAAGCTAAGCATGAATTTCGAAGGCTATTTTCCCCGAATCGACTGGCCATTCGGCGGAATTCCATTGAGGGATGAACACCCTAAAGAAGTACTACTATTACACTAAGTTTCGACCCCAAATGAATTTCCTTAGTGATGCCCTCCCCTTGTTAGACGACCTTTTACTAAATAGTTAGCAATCACTTCCTCAATTTTAACTTCCTTTGATCGAGCGTAATTTCTCTGTTTACATCCTATGTGTCTTTACTAAACAGACGGAGAACATAACAAAACATGAACATTTCTTGAGAGAGACTCAATAAGTGATTCTTAGTTATTATGAAATTCTTTTCCTTGTACTATTTTTGGATAAAGTTATTAAATTTAATTTTTCAGATTATATCTTTAATTGGGAAGAAAATGAAAACATTTACCTTCCATTCGCTTCTTTTCCATTTGCCAGACACATACCAATTCCAGATTGGAGTCCCACATACAAGTTCATTGATATTGATATGTATTATTTGCACATTCGATATGTTTTGTAATTTTTTTATTAGAGTTCCATTAGCATTAATGCCACTGATAGGTGTCATTAAAACATTAATCTGCAAGGAAGGATTGTGACGAGCAGTTGATTCAACAGCGCAAGCTTGTCTTGGTGTGAGATTAGTAGAGCTGGAGGTTTCCACGAAAAACACAGGTTTATTTACGCAATAACGGTGGCCTGAAAACGAACAAAAAATATTTATTTGAATGTAAGCAATTCGATTTTAAATTGAAATGTTATAAAATTACTGAAATCAGTTAGCAGTATGTAAAGTACCGAATAAATGGGGGGGCTCAGTTCAATATGTAAACTGTTAGGATTGGTATAATTGGATATTGGAAAATCTTTTAAATATACGAAAACTATTAAAATAGTCTGAAATAACTAAATTATTGGAACCAATCGGAATCATACATATATTTATATATAAAATCAATGTTTTATTTTCTTTATTCCTTTAGGTTTTATTATGCTTATAATTTTCAGTGTATCGTTACCATAAGACTTATTACTCTCTATAAAAATCCTTTCTCAGAAAATTTTGTTTTGATTTCATAAGTAAACCCATCTATAAAAGTCTTGAAGAGAAAGAACATCGTTACTTGAGAACTCTTACATCAGCTACTTTATAGCAAACACAATGTGTGAGCACTGCTCTCACACATTTGAGATTTTGAAAAGAATATAATTGATTTTATTACTTTTAAGGTATCCGACTACGTTCGGAACCGTGATTTTAAAAAAGCGCTGAAATGGATAATTTTCATCACATAAAATTCTGCTGGATCCACGTCGTCATATAACAAATACTAGCAATAGCGTAACAACTTCCAAGCTGAAAAATGTGCATGCAGAATTACTCTCACGAATACAAATGTGTATCGTGAACAATGACGAAATCTTTGAACATGATCTACATTAGCTTGTTATCACTTTGTGACAGTTTGCCTTTGCGTTTCTTCTGCGGGATGTTTTCAAACTGTACTGTCATAAGTACATATTTTAAACAATAAGTTATGCGTTTTTCTTTATACCTATGACTATTCCTTTAAAGTATTTACGCTAAATAGAGTGCATTAATTTGGGACATTTTTGTCCATACAAGTGACAATTGATCTTGTCCATGTCAGCCAAACTAATTAATTAATACTCTGAAACTTTCTGGTAAATTTTGCTCAATCTCTTTTCGTTTTCGATTTGAAATGCATATCTTCCAAATTGCATCCCTGGGGGAGCTGCTGTCGTTTTTATTAGGCCGGAAGTAGTCGCTTTATAACACCGTGAGCTCGTTTGCAGAGCGGTTTCTTCATTCACAAGTATTTTCAAGTTAAATTGACTTTCCTATTGACTTTGTATGTGTGTGTGTGTGTAGGAATTTCATTATTGTTTGAAATTTTTTACTCGTGGCAAGACAAATAGCCGACTGGAAAAATCATAAATTTATTTGAGTAATATTAACATCAGAAGAGAGAATTAGCGACTTTTCTCCGCTCAAGCGCCCAGCAACAAAAGAAGCAATATTTAAAGGAAAATTACATGGAAATATACAATAGGAATGTTACAATCATGTGTTTAAGTGAAGGGAACTCGTTGTTATGTTACAAACTATGTTGGCGGTTTTAGGGAAATATAATGTGCCAGCTTTCTTTTGGGAAGCGCATGCGTATGCTATTTAATTATTTTTTCTATGAGTCCGAAATGAATCTTAGAATGCATAATCTTTTTAGTGAGAGAAATAAAATGAGATTAGCATTTCAAAAAAGGGTAATTGTAATTAAGATACACGGAAAAGAATATACAAGATTAGGGTTTAATTTAAGGTATCCGACTACGTTCGTAACCGTGATTTTGCAAAAGCGTATAAATGGATAATATTTATGATATTTAGTGTCACTTAGATTTAGAAAATGTATATAAAAAATTTTTAAGAGTTGTATTACAATAAAAAATTATTTAAATACAATATTCTGACAAAAATGAACATAGAATTACCAATTTTAAAAATATTCTCCTTTTGTGAAAAATGCTTCTATTATAATAATATTTTGCCTGCATATAGCTCAGATCTTTGTACAGAGGCTCAACTAGAATTTTTGAAATATATAACTTAGAAGTGGGTTATCCATGTTTTACAACACAGAGGGGAGAAATTTTAAGAAAATATGCCTATAATTATTTCAATTGGTTGTAACTCTGAAAATAATGTGAATTTTTCAAAAATTATAGTTGAGCCTCTTTACAGAGGTTGAGCTATATACAGGCAAATTATTATTATAATGAAAACATTTTTCACAAAAGAGGAACATTTTGAAAAAAGGTTATTCTAAGTTAATTTTTTGCCGAAATATTGTATTTAAATAACTTTTTTGTCAAAATATCCTTAAAACAATTTTATACATGTATTCTAATCTCAGTGACACTAAATATTATGAAGATTATCCATTTATGCGCTTTTTTAAAATCACGGTTCCGAACGTAGTTGGATACCTTAATGTTAAGCTATAATGGCAATTTAAATATTTATATGTTACATACACATATACCGAGTGTCCTAAAATAAATAGACTGCTTTCAAAAGTTTATAACAAGGAAACGGTCAAGTTTAAGGATTACTTCTTGCAGAAAATCGATGTGACAGGGTATAAATTTTTCCACCTCGAGTTCAAAAATTATTTAAAAATTATCTGTCAGGTGGCGGTACAGATGGTAAACTGGTTTAATCAAAGAAAAATAATTATAAATCACCGCAAAATTGTTCGAAATCTTTTAATGAATGAAAATCACACCACAATAATCTCAAAATATCCACTATAAGCCGGAATCACCCGTCATAATCCCAGGACGAAATTAGCAGACATTTTCTGTAAATTGGCCAATGGAATGACTGCACATTTGTCTCCGATTATTCCTTCAAGTGACATCAACCAGCATATAGCGGATGATTCGACCAAAAGATTTTCAATTTCCATAAAATTGTATACAGTTTGAACGTATAGTACTGTATCGCGAAGAAAAAAAAAAGAATCCAATTGCACCTCCACTGAAAACAGTTGCACATATACTCAATTTTGGGAATAGAGGATTTCCAGGCAAGCAATCTCTTGCAGAGAGTGACCTTTACGCCCTGTGTGGTCCGTCCTTTTGACTGCCTCCAGCAAGAAAGACCGGAGCTGAAAACATCAGTTGTCGCCTCTCCTAGTAGGGTGGTTATGACACTCGGCTTGTAATCGAGTGGGTTCGAATCCCGAGGAAGGCATGGATGTATCTTCGGGAAAAGAAATTGGACTTTCACCTGAAATGGATGAAAAGGAGAGCAGCGTACCTCTTCTGTTCATTGCTGGGAAAATCGTTTGTAATAAAATCTGTATTCTTCTGTGATTGGGTTATATGTTTCTGTTCATCTATTTCACGTTTTTCGTATGTATCCCAGTAATAAACACACGACAACAACAACAAAACATCAGTTGTAGATACCACAGGGATGAAAGTGGGTTATTTTCAGTGATGAGTCTAAATGAACCAGACAGAATGATTCCCGTCGAATCTTCACCCGGAGAGAAGGTAGAGCTCACTTGTACTCCAACGTAACAGTAACCAACAGATTCGGTGGCAAAGGAATCCTTGTCTGTGTGGTGGTATAATGTTTGTCAGTCGCACACCACTGTACGTTTTCGATGCGTCAACTCACAGCGCTATTTGTATGAGATCCTGGAAGCCTATGTGAGGTTTTTTGGGCAGCTTTGGGCCCGGAGTACATTTTTATGAATGATAAGGTGCAACCACACATAACTCACATTGTTGATGAATTTCATGAAAGAGCCGATGTCCACCTAGGGATTGACCCTCGATGTCTCCTCATCACAATTCTATTGAATATGTTCGGGATGTTCTAGCAAAAGCCATTTCTCACCGTAGTTCCCTTCCTAGGACCTCGTAGGAGTTAAAAGTCCCACTTTTGGGAAAAGGGACTTTGTTTCCTCAAATATATATTTATTGACACCCTCATAAACAGTATGACAGCTTGTTGTGAGGTTTGTATAGCAGTTCACAGTGGTCTCATCCATATTAGACAAATTTTTTTCAAGGTAAATGCTTTATTTCTGATTCATGATTTCACACTTTTTGATGACTTGTATCTTAATTCACAATTACAATCTTTTCCATATTGTTATGTTGCTATATTCTTCATGACATTGTAACATGTTTCTGTGTCAAATTTCGTGGCAACACAGAAAATAGCTTAGAAGTTTTCACAGATTTTATATGTTTGTGACCTTAATTTTTGATACGAGTGTAGTATATATATTTGAAACACACACCATGTTTTCCCTGCAATGATACACTGCTTGTGGAAAAACAAGTTTCACAAAGAAAAAAAGCGCTCTTCCCAGCATTAACTTGAATAACATTATGGCAAACGTAGACGATATGGTTACCAGATCGACTTCTTTAATGTCTTTGTCGACAGATTTAGTGACAAATTCTATCGACAAGGAACCTCCGAAAAGTTACTGGCATCGACTTATCTCGAAATTTCTATGAGGCTTTATAAAAGTCGGAGGAGTTCAGAAGTGAATCAGTCGAGTTCAGAATATGTGTTTGTGCGTTGTCTGCGATGAGACAGTTTTATCTGGTTTATATATATATATATAAGAGAGCCCTTTTCTGGAGAGCTGTAAAGCTTGTATATAACGACTGTATTTTTCTATTTCTTTAAATGATCTGTTTTTTAATATTTCTTTGTATAAATACGTCGATTTGACTTCGTATAGCCGTTTGTTCGTTCTCATCCATTGATAAATTTCTTATTATTCGATTCATCTGAATCGTCGGCTGCTTCCCCCTCCCCATCAAATGCACAACAATATATATATATTTATATATATGCATGTACATAATGAATAAAGGCTTTAGATTAATAATTTCTACTAATAATGATACCATTGAAACAAAAATTATTAAAGATATTGAAAATCTCACTACAAAAATTGCTACTTAATATCGCTTTCCACTTGAAGTTTTTATTGAATTTAAATTCAAAAACTTACTAAAACTGAACTATGAAATAGACAATGATATAAATTACAAAGACAACAAATATTAATACTATAAAGAGATTTTGTAATTGTATATATACACTGGTGTGCAAAAAATAAGGACGAAGTCGAAAAATTAGCATATCAGCTGAACGAAGCGGCAGAACGGACAGAAAGACCAATAGGGAGATTAAGTAAGGTGATGTACGGTAGCACATGCGCAGATATGCAGGTACACGTAATGGGGGAGTGTCTGAGTAGTATAAAGCATGTTGTTGGTGTAAGATCAGTATTTCTGGCAAAGAGATTGCACGCCGTATAACACTTAAAATCCCACCGAGTTGCTGCCTCAGCAAAAAATGGCGAATAATCAATCTGTTAGACAACATCTGGATGCTTTCACCCGAGGTCGAATCATTGGGAAGTTGGAGGAAGGCTGCAGTGTGACAAGTGTGGCTGCAGAGTTCGGAATTGCTCACAGCATCGTTTCACGACTTTGGAGACAATTTCAAACTACAGGAACAGCTATCCGGGGGTTCAGTAGTGGTCGTCCACGAGGAACCACACCCGCAGATGACCGGTACATTGTCTTACAGGCCAGAAGAAACAGGCGGCAAACAGCGGGAGAAATCGCTAGACACACGACACAGGTGACTGGACGACAGATATCGCGTTTTACCGTGGCCAGAAGACTGCACGGTGGTGGTCTGTTTGCACGACGCCCTGTACGGTGTGTACCTTTAACGCCTGCCTATCGGAGAAGGCGTTCTCTGTGGGGCCGGAAACACCGGAATTGGAGAGACAATGAATGGGGACGAGTACTCTTTACAGATGAGAGCAGATTCAGTTTGAGTAGCGATTCTCATCGCATACTCATCTGGAGAGAGCGGGGAAGCCGCAATCATCCCTCGAACATCATTGAAAGGGACAGGTATAGAGGTCGCGGTGTTCTCGTTTGGGGAGGCATCATGCTTGGTAGTCGTACAGACCTTCACATCTTCGACGCAGGTTCAGTCAACGGGACCCGTTATTGTAACGAGATTCTTCTTCCATATGTGCGTCTTTTTAGAGGCGCTATGGGTCTGCAGTTCCTTTTCATGGACGACAATGCACCATGTCATCGCACAGTAGCTGCCGAACAGCTCTTAGAGAGTGAGGATATTGAACGTATGGATTGGCCGGCACGATCTCCGGATCTCAATCCCATCGAGCATGTATGGGATTTTCTAGGCAGACGCTTCGCAGCTCGTACCTTACCACCAGTAACGATTCGGGAGCTTCGATTGGCGCTGCAAGACGAATGGGCAGCAATGCCTCAACAATGCCCTCATTCTCAGCATGGGCAGACGCTGTGAAACCTGCCTAGCAGTCAGGGGAGATCATATCCCCTACTAAAGACCGGATGTTTCTTGCTGGACACCCATCCCAGGGATGTTTCGGCCTTCAGTCGCATTGCGCTACATGCTACTTTTTCAATCAAGCTTCTTTTTATCCCTCTGATTTCTCTTTTAGTAAGTGTTGCTTACATTACACATGTCCTTACGTATTGGGGATCTTACGGTATTAAATGTGTTGATTTGGAAAGCTTTTGTACAAAGTTATATTGAAAAAACCGTCTCGTCCTTAATTTTTGCACACCAGTGTAGATAAAGTCCCAGGCAATTTTGAAAATGTTACTATAATAATATTTTTAATAATCATTTTCAAGACAATAATGCATTTATAAAATCTGTGTCCAACACAAGAGAAATCAATAAGCGTATCTTGTATTTCATAAAAATAGTAGGATTAAATATAAAATGAATTAATTTTCCGCACACTTTTTATTACTCTAAAATTCCAGACCCCCTCCCCCATTAAATTCAGAATAGTCCCTAATACCTTTAATATTTACATTATTAAACCAGGTAAAATGTTAGAAACAATAATTTAGGATACTTTAGACAACATTAATACATGTTTTATAAAAAATAATAAAGATATTGTTGCGTCCATGAAAGGATAGAGAGAGAGAGGAGAGTTCTATTAACGTCGCATTATAAAGCTGCACGAGAGCTGTTGGCGACTGACCTCGACATTTTGAACCATGGTCAAGTAATGAGGATGACACCTGAGTTTGACCCCATCCCTTTCCTAACTTCCACACCACACCAACGGGAGGACGTATGAGCTTCGACAGACTTAACACGCAAAGGCCCCGCTGCACGTCGGGTCTTTTGGGGCACTAGGCTTGAACTCATAATACACCGGCCACGAGTCTGTGACCTTGACCACTATCCACGAAAAGAGAAAAACAGAAAATCTATTCATAGGTATGACTTTAAAGACTTATTTAATTCCATTGATATAGAAGATAGGATTCAGGTTCTCAAGAGAATATGTACTAAATATTCCTTAAATAAACTAATAAAATATGAAAATACAAGTATTGAAAAGAATCTTTATTTTACCAATAGCTTTATTATCAGCGAATTAGAGGGCGCATCACAAGGGGCTAATATATCTATGGACATTTTTGAAAATTATAAACATAGAAATGAAATAATTTTAGTTGCATAAATGACCCAATTATCTTTAGTAATAACTTAGATTATATTATTAGTTTAATTTTTTATAAACAGTATATGAAATTAATAAAAATCAATCTTGATACAAACAATACAGACTTCATGGATCTACAACAAAAATTGATTATGAATTTTAAAAAGAATATTTATGAAAAAAACGCGAAGCCTTTAAACTTAACATTATAAAGTGCCTTTTTGGACAAGAAATCTCCACACATCAATTTTTAGAAATATTGTTTTAAATAACGTACATAATAATTTCAAAATTTTTAACAAATACTTTTTAGAACAGGATTATTTTGCTAACTTTCTAAATACATATATTTGTAAAAATAATGATAATAAGAAATTATCATAATTTTTTTGTACTCCCTTTTAATTTCTGCATTCACTCTTGCTTAATTTATATCAGTTTCAAAATTGTTAAACAGATGGTACCATAGATATAGATTTCCCGATTAATGTCTTTCAAGACAGAACAAAGTTCCCTGCTCCCATTTTTTACTTCATGTGTTCAAATGTTTTTGGTAAGTTCTTGAATTTATGTTCTTTTTTTAGTGTATCTTTTTGCTACTATTTCTATTCATATATTATTTATTCATATTAGTTTAATTGATTAACAACTTATTGTTCACTTATAAGAACTAATTTTA